GGTTTAGGGGGAAACGTTTGCTCTGCTGTTTCTATGGATATTCTGTGGCTCTTTAGGACCCTTCCAAATCGAAGATCATCTGGTCTGTGTACTGGCTCTGCTGCTATGGCTGGTTCTGCATGCATTCAGTAGACCTCATCCATCTCAGCGACTAGGGCAGAGTGTCAAGTGTCAGGAAAGTGACATACTTCAGTGAAAAGAACATAATAAAAGCTAATGTGGGAACCCCAGTTCCTTCTGGTATCAAGAGACAGCTTAACCCATGTATTTCATTTCTGCCTAAGGAATGGATAATGAAAGGCCAAGGGTGTCTGGGAGCTAGATCCCCCATGCGCCAGGGAGTCCTGCCCTTACCTCGTGCCCTGCTATGGTAGCAAACAGCGATGGGCAGCTTTGGCATCAGCCACCAGCGTGACTCTGATTGATCCACAGGCCATGGTTAAGTCCCAAACGGGGGAAGGAGGTGGGAGCAGATCGCTAGTTATTTTTCTATTAAACCATTTGTGCAAACAAGCAATTATAAGCTGCAACGTTACTCCTTAGAATCTAATCCAGGAGAACCTGACTGCTGATTTGAGTTGAGCTAGGCAGTGGGAATACAGAGTAGCAGGGACCTGGGTTGGACAGCAGGTATCTCCCACACTCACATTGAGTTCCGGTCCTCTCCTGCATATCCCTCTAGAGATGCAGTCCCTGCCCGCCTGCCTGCCCAAGTCCCTTCGCCGAACGTGACAGACATGACCAATGAAGACTCATCTTCACTGTGCGGGATCCTTCGGGGCTCATGAATGCCGTCTGCATGGTTCCCTGACTTCCCTCCCAGGCAGCTGACTCTGGGGGTGCCTGACGTGCAGATCCCCAGAAATGCCAAGGCTGTAACCATCTCTCGCTTCCCACCCGGGAGGCCGGGAAGCAGAAATGATGGTAACAGGGTGTGCGGAAATTGGGAAAAAGCAGGTTCCGGTTCTTCAGTAGAAAATATCACACAGAAGAATTCCCCTCCCTCAGAAAGAAAAAGATAAAACAGAAAGGTTTCACAGATCCAGCCACTCACCAGACTTTTCTTGAAACCTCAAAGTAGAAAAGGCACAGCCGAGGACATTTATAGTCGCCAAACACTCTGTGTCTCCATGTGGCCCAGAAAGCGGGGTGTTGCAGGGCGGTGGAATCGGGGAACGCTGAGCCCGACCTTTGCCACAACTCTGCGCGCCTCCCTACAGAGAGGCTGGGCTTAAGGGCGGAGACCTGAGTGTTCTTATAAATGTTTTATAATGTAAAAGTGGACGGGCCAGAGCAGAAAGATGTAATATGGGTATCTTTCCATTTATTTTCCAACCCAGAGCAGAAAGAGGCAATATGGGTATCTTTCCATTTATTTTCCGACCCACGAGGATGCCCATGCTTATAAAATAATCCCCTTCCTCCTCAAAAGTCAATTAGGTTCTCAGAGGGAATTTGTCAGGTTTACATTATAAAGAATCCCTTTACTTGATGTACGTAGCTGTGGAGAACAGATTTCTCTCCAGCCACTACATACACGACATATATGCTTATAGAAAACATACATGATGGCCGGCGCAGACCTCTGCAGGAGAAGGACTCGGGGCAATGCGGCTTTCTTTGAGAATTCAGCTAGGTCGTCCCCTCCCCTTGGTTAAGGGCATTGCTCTTGGGAGTTGGGCGGGGTTCTGAGGTGGCTCTGGCTGGCTGTGGTGGAAGGGATGCCAGGTCACCTCTGGCTTCTGGGGAGCCACATAAAGATGCTACCATGGCAACCACCATCCGTAGCTCAAGTTGATTAAGCAATAGCCTTTGCAGAAGCCTCCTCAGTAAGGCAAGGTTCAATTTCAAGGAGCGAAAGAAATCAGGACAGGAGTCAGGTTATCTGAATTCACAGGGGCAAATACATGGGATGAGACAATGAAAGTTCTAACTTTGAGGAGAGAGACACTCGACAAACCTACAGACAAACCCACATGTGACTTCCTGCTGGCCTGAGCCCCTGACCAGGACAGGGGACAGGTTCAGTGACTTTACTACACCATCTGCCCCAGGCCAGATGGGACTCTGGCTAACCCTATCAAAGTGATGGGAGAGCTGAATTCTCGAGTGCCACTCATGAGGAGAGGGGGACAGCAGAGCTGGGAAGCACGGGCACGTGAGCGAGAGGAAGCATCACCCGGACCTCAGCAAACGTGACGGCGGCCAGAGGAGGGGAGAGTGGGACCTGTTCCGCGAGCAGAGAAAGGAGAGCGGGAATAGGCATGGTAAGCTTGGAAGGATGGTGACAAAAGAAGAAAATGGATGAAGAAGGGTGAGCAAGTACCGTCTACATTTCAGAGAGAAATGAAGGGAGAGTCCAAGAAGTGACATCACCAAAAGCAAGTGATGGATCAGAACCCTCAATCCATCACAGAAGCTTGGACCCCAGAACAAGGGGGTTCCTGGAGTCCCCTGCACTGTACCTGGTCTGAAGACCAACAGAGAGGCTCCAGTTCCAGGGCTGTTAAGGCTCCCCCTGCCACCAGCACCAAAGCCACCACCGCCATGTTTCAAAGGGCACAAAGAAAGAACAAGACAGATGACAACCCTCCAGCACGTCATCACTGCTCTGGGGCTGATAAGAGACAGCTAGACCGTGGACATGGGGCAGGCATGCAAAGGCTTCCTCTACAATGCACCTCCTAAGCTGGGCGTGGTGGCACACACCTGTAGTCCCAGCTACTTGGGAGGCTGAGACAGCAGGATCGTTTGAGCCCAGCCCAAGGCAACATAGCGAGATCTCGCCTCTAAAAAACTAAAATAATGTAACATAAAATAAAATGCACCTCCTTCTCACACTGGCACCAACACATGGGCCTGGTTACCAGGTACCCAGGCGCAGGTGTTTGGGGGGTATATATAAAACAACTAGCTCTTGGACAAGCCTGCACGCATCTCCAACTTTTTACATACATTGTGCGTCAGCACATACTTTGCCCCTGTATTTGGTCTCCTATGATATGATGGATAAGGAAGGGAATTAACATTTACTGATCACCCCCATCATGTCACGCCCTGTGTTAAGCACTTTACGTACATTATTTTATCTCCATTGTAGAGGCAAGAAACTGGAGTTAGGGGAGTTAATATTTGCTGTGTGGCTCAAGGACACAAAGCTGGAATGTAGAGGGGCTGAGACTCAAATGAGGGCCTTTCTGGCCACTCTGCCTTGTCACCTCAATGGGCTCTGTTCTTCCTAAAGGTGGGGTGGGTCCTTTCCTATGTGCCTCTCTCTCCTCGCTCAGCCTTTATCCTTCAGAGAGAGATGAATTATTTTGGTAGGATCAAAATAAGAAGAACAATTAGTGAATAATGTATGCAAATGAATTGATAAGGTGAGAAGGGAACTTGACCTTTTAAGAACCCAAGGATAATATTTATCTCTAATAAAAAAGGTGGGTCTCCTTAGGACAAAGGCAGACTTTAATGCATCTTTCTAAGAAGAAGGAAGAGGAGCTAGAAGTCCCTTCGGGAGAGCCAGAGTTGCTTTTCTTTTCATCTTGCTGTGAGAATCCATACAGGGTTCAGATGCTTGAGAAAATACCAAGCTTTTGTGACATTTCCCCAGGAACAGTCCAGCCAGCTCTGATAGGAAGCTTTCTTTTTCTGAGGGGCAAAAGTGATTCCACATGACTTGAGTGGGGTTAGCACACTAGTGCACACAGAGACAAGGGACATTGGAGTTACCTTGATTGCCAGCCCATCTCAGGTCACATACCACACACAACTCCCCTCTCCTTTGGAGGGTCCCTCGTGACAGCAGGGAGAAACACACACAGTCCACTCCCAGGTTCTGGGAGATTTTAGACTCTTGGCACAGCTGGGGACCTTTCACGTCTCCTACAGACAGAGCCCCCTGCCCTGGGCCACTTGAGAAGCAAGGCTTCCTTACCCTCACCCACCTCTTTTCCTGCCAGGAAGGAGAGCAGAGGGAAGCGGACAGTGCTTTCGGGGAGAAGGCGGGATACGTGATCCCTTCCTAACGACTTGGAAGGGCAAACCTATGGAGGAATTTTGCTCCTTTTACAGCTGCCATCAGCGACGGCAGCTCCCAAGTGCTTTCCTTCTGCCTCATCGTACAGTGCCTCTAGCCTTGCTCAGAGGATGTGGTTCCCACTTGTATTCAGAGGGACTCGGGGGACGGCTCAGGGAATGCTATCACACCACTTGGATGAGGGACAGGTTGCTCAGTGTGAAACAGGGTACAGACAGAGCCCCAAAGATGTCATTCATCCTACTGGGGCATTCAACACAGCTGGTTAGGACCGAACATCCCTATTTCCTAGCTACACCCTGGAGGGCTAGAAGAGCGCTTCGCTTGGCTGGATTCCACAGGAAATGTTAGCATGTGGTTGAAAACCTGCTACAGCTGGATCGATGTGTGGATTAAAAAAAAACAAAAGAACAAACCCAAACGTAATGAACGTGATTTAGTTGCCTGAATGGTTTAAGACTGTCTTCCTAAGTATGTTACCAAGGAAAGTTTGGAAGGTCTTTCCTTTTGGAGATTAAACATGCTAACATACGCAATAGCTCTCATTTACCCCTGCTCATGGGTAGAAAAGCCCCCAGTGCCTGGATTCTGTGATCTGCAACTCTCCTCTACCCTCCGCATCCTTCTTTCTCCCAAGCTGCTTCCTTGATTGACAGACATAAGAAATGGAAGGGCGCATCAGCCACCCCTGGGTCCACCCCTGAGTGCATGGAGGCACTGCCCACACGGTGAGCGCCTGCCCAAGCTGACTCATCTCCAAGAGAGGAGTCCCGGGCCTTCTCCCTCCTCATGCGCCCTGTTCCTGCCACTTTGGGCATGTGAGCTGGAGCTGCGAGGCTCTCAGGAGCTCTGCTGCGGGCAACTAGGGAGCAGATTTCCAGGGCACCACTCTCTGGCCTCAGATGAGCCAGAGTCTCCAGGAAGAGGGGAGAAAAGGGAACCAAACAAGAAAAGGGCCACTTACGCCAGAGCAAAGGCCACCAACGCACCAACCACCACCACGAAGTCCAGGATGTTCCACAGGTCTCGGAAGTAGGACCCGTCCTGCAGGATCAAGCCCTGGTCTATCATCTGCAGAAGGAGGGTGTGAACAGCCACAGATGAGCCCGGGAGGCGTGGGCAACACTTGCCCTGAGATCTAGTTCATCCTGGCAACAGCTCTTCTGCCACCGTCTGCACAACCAACCCTGCACTGGGACCTCAAGAGCAGGAGGTGAAGTCCAATAGGCTCTCTGCATGTAACCGAGGCCTGAGGCTCCTCTCACAGCCACACAGGGTTTGCCAGACTCCTGGGTCACCAAAGAGCTCTGCCATGTTTCTCCTTTCACTGGTGGCCCATAGCACCAGGCATTGCCACATATGCACGGATGGTTAAAATCCCAGCTGGGTTAAGACTCGGGACAAGCCAGGCTTGTAGGGTGTTAGGGTGGCTGGAGGGGAACAAGTGTGGTTGGTCCTAGAGGGAGCCCAGGAGGACTCATCTCTACCTACCCCCGTGCCTTGGCACGCACCCAGGTTCAGCCAGGATGCACTGGGGAGGGGAGTGCGGTCCCCACGCCTATATGGACGCCCGCTGCCTGCCTCCTGCTCAGGCCACTTCCACACACATCCCCACTGTCATATCTTGCCAAGACAGATTTCCTCAGGGTTCTGAAGCCAGACAAGGGGCAGCAGAGGCTCTACTGAGGTCTGTCATTGGCTAGTCGGTGGCAGCGTTGGGGCAGGGCCCTATCCTAGAGGAGCAGACAGCTGACCCATCCAAACACTGGAGCTCAGGTTTTCTCTAGAGGCTTTTACCTTTATAACCATCTCGAAGGTGAACACACCAGTGAAGACATAGTCAAAATACCTGAGGACCTGTAAGACACATACAGTAGAGAAAAAGAGGACCACGTGTGGTCACCAGGCTATACACGCTCCCGCCGGCCCACAGACAGAGGCAGCCCCACGTGCCCACCCTGACCCCACCCACCTCCATCTCAGAACCAAGGCTCGGAATTACAACCACTGTTTGGACTGAGGGACCGATGCAGGGAGGAGAGGGGCCACGGGTCCTGCTGGAGCCCATCACCCAGTGGCCAGTCCTTGGCTGTTCCCCCTCCTTGGCCAGAACTTAACTTCTTGGGTGTGAACTGGGCCACAAACGTCTTCCTCCAGTTCCGGCCCAGGACATGGAGTCCTTGTCACCTCCCTCCTATCTCCTGATCTATTGACTGGGGAGCCCAAGAGATGCCTCCATCACATTCCATATACATCATTCATGACCCCAGGTTATGCCCACATCCGAGCCCACGGAGGCTGCAGATGCCCATCAGAGCCTGGCTGGAGGTGGGTGTCGGCCCCTGCCACAGCACACAGGCTTACAGCGTGGGCGCTGGGAAGGGCTTGTTTGGGAACGGCTCATACTTCACATCCAGGAACAGGGATGGGCAATTTCTCAGCCCTTCCTCCTTCCCCAGCTCCCTTCCTACAGACTCGGTTCACCCTAATGCTGGGATGGAGGGGGGCTGGGATGGGACGGGTGGCGGGGCACTACAGAGGCTGGTGAACGGCTCCCCGTGCACCCACTCTGTTGCGCTCCGAGTTGGTCAGGACAGGGTCCTCCGCCGCCAGGGCGATGCTGCTGGCTGCGATCACCAGGAGGATGCACATCTCGAAGTAGCGCAGGTTCACGATGTAGTGGCAGGCCCTCCGGATCCTGTGGGCGGGTGAGCCCTGCTGAGCTGGCCCCACTTCCCTCCCAAGCCCATCTCTGTTACTCCCCACCCCACCCCCGTACACGCACCCGCCTCTTCCAGACAGCCAGGCCCTAGCCAAAGGAAGCCGCCAGGGACAGCAATTTAATTTCTCAGGCACCACCCTTGATTTAAAGCCCCCGTGGAGGGAGCTAATCAGATTGGTGAGAGGCTGCAGCACGCAAGCCTAGATGCATTATCTGCAAACACGTCTGAGCCGCAGAGTGCAGCCAGCATCGGACGACAAACTCAGGGTAGCTATGTGGTGCTCTCTGCCGTAGCGCCATGTCTACGCTCCTACTGTAAGGAAACTGGGACGTGCCGAGTAAATTATAAAGAATTAAGGAACGTAAAAATAGACCTTGATTCCATGATTCCTGACGAAAGCAGTCACAGGTTCTCCTGAATCCCAGGTTATTCTAATCAAAGTAACTATCTTCTATATTCTCCATTCCAGCCACGGATGGCCTGACCTACCTTGACCCCAGGCCTGGCTCCTCCCTTCCCAAAGCACCTGGACCCTGCCCACGTGACCACTGAAGGCCATCCTGTCTTCCTCATTGCAGGAGCTGGTATACATTTTGCTCACGGCCAAGGCAGAAGGCAACTTCTCTTTCCAAATTCCATCCTTCCTGCCTCTACCCTCCAGACTCTTCTCTTCCCCCCAAACTTCATGCCCCTACCTCTGCTCTGAGGAGCATGTACATTTCAAAACGCCACATGTAGGCCAGTGGGACCCAAACTCTTAGACTCCAGTAGATGATCTGGTTATTCTAGGCTCTGTCCACTTCTTGGAATATTTGGTGCCACATTCTCAAGTAGGTTTATTTCCTCCCTGCCCCCTTGCCACCTACTGACGAAAGAATAGGTAAAGGGTCCTTATCTCATAACATTTCTCTTGCTACCCTAAGTTACTCTTTAGACTGTGGGCACAGAGTTCTGAGGCTGTTTCACTTTATGACCCACCTCACTCAGTGGGTACCAGATGCTCGACGTCTCACCACACTGTACTGGGAAGGCGCAGGAAGGTGACTGGGCCCCCATCCCTCCTTCTCCCCATCACCCTACTCTGGCTCCAGCCCTGGCTGTGTACCCCGGCCTCCCCAGGGGTGATGCCAAGGTGTCTTACGGGTTGGTGGTGCTGAAGATGAACATAGAGCTGTGGGGCACCATGGCTTTGCCTGTCTCTCGCTTCTCCTTCTTCTGCTTCTTCTTCTCCACCACCTCCTCATCCTCTTTGATCTCTGCCTCCTTCAAGGGGCTGGCTTCCCCATCAGTCTTATTGCTAACTGCGAGAGGAACACAGAGTCTTCAGAAACCTTGCTGCACGTGGGACGGCCCCTTCATGCCCACCATGCACGGAGAGGATGAGAAAGGGCCTGGGGATGCCCCTCGTAGCCATGGGGGTACCTGCTCTTCCTCTCTCCTTGCCTCACCCTCACCCCAACGGTTGAGGAATAGCCTGTTGTGTCATGTATGTGATAACGATCACGTTTCCCCTTTTATAGTTGAACTTGTACGATCTAGTAAACGGAATGGTGTTTCTGTTGTAAAGTTTGCAAAGTTTAGATTTTATATCAAAACACTGGACTCTTTGTATACATTCACTTACTGAATCTTCACATTACTACACCCAGAGCAGCATATATTATTATTCCCATTATAGAGATGGGAAAACTGAAGTGTAGGGAATTTAAGAACACTTCCTAAGACCTTATAGCTTATGGCCTTAAGATCCTATAAATTCTATGTCCTTTCAATGAAATCGCCCTGCAGTGGAAGATTTGAAGAAACCATCACTGTTTGCAGCTGCCTTTCTGGCTGTGCTTTTTCTAGCCGTGAGTAATGGAGAAACGGGAATGCGATATTCACGTGGATATGGTCCACGTCTGCCTTCCAGCATCGGGAGGATGAAGGAGCTGAGGTCACGTGGAGCTCTCAGGCTGCTACTCTGTCTCCATACTCCAGTCACAGTGTGGGTTAAGCTGGCAAGGGGCTGACGCTATCCGAGTAGGTAAAGGGGCCCAGTCAGCCTCCCCCGCTGCCCTCTACTCAGTGACAGCTCTACCCTGGCGCTCTGTGTCCGCCGCGGAACTCTGTAGTCCTGGCCCACGCCAGGGCCTTCCTAAAAGGTAAGTCACGTGAAGCATCCAGAAGCCTTCCTATAACGAGCTCTTACCTCACCAAGGGCACAGACCAGCCCTGAAATGGGAGCAGAGGGAAGACCAAGCTTTCTTACTGTTGTTTCTCGTAAAAGAAGGTCCAAAACGCTTCTTATTTATTAGAGCATAAAACCAAACAGACGCCAAGAGAGGCCGTGAGTCTGGGATCCTGGGGCAGGCCCAAGCCAACCCCAGCAAGCGCTGGACGTGGGAGGTTTCACTTTTTAAAGCAGTGTCGGCATTTTGAGGGTAGAGGGTGTGAATGGATAGAGATGGGGGAGCGGAAGAAGAAAAACAGGGAGAGGAGAAGACTGTCGTGTGAGGAGAAAACTATGGAAAAAGTGGGAGGAAAACAAGCAAGAGGAAGCCTTGGTCACCATTAGGTCATGGGGCGCAGGTGGGATTAAGGCAGAGACAGGGAGTGCAGGGATGGGGTGTGGGGTCAGGGCACGGAGGAGAGAGTAGATAAAGTGCTATTTTTTTCTTTTTTTCCTCTGTGTTTCCCTTTAAGGTTTCCTAGGTTAACACCTGCTGCCTGAGCGAACTGTGATGGGAGAGCAGAGAACCTGTGACTAACAGCTCCTAGGAGAAAAGAGCTGCTAAGAGTAATAGAATCATAAAATGTTAGTACAGGGAAAGGCCTCGGAGGTCACTCAGTTCAACACTCTCACTTTACGGATGACAAACACAGGCCTTGAGAGACACAGAGGTTTTTTCTGGGGCCACTCACTGAGCAGAGCCAGGGCCAGAAAGTGCCCTCCTGCCACCATCCACTCGGCCAGGGGCTCCCTGACCTGCCTGGCAGCAGAGCACCTTGGAGGGCAAAGGGAACGCCATCGAATAGGCACACGTTAAATCCACTGGTTGAATATATACCAGCGCACAAAATCGCATACGATCACTCTGAAAACTCTAGGGTGCTTGCAGGGGCCAAAAGCTTAAGGAAATTTTACGGGCGAAACTTAAGATGGAGAAAACTCTAACTTATTTTTTTCCTGCACGCTGGGAGACAACTGCCACTCGTTTTTACTTGTTGCAGAATGATTCACTCCTGCTGGGGGTGCTTTCTGAGCGGGCCTATCAGAATGACCAGAGACCGCTGTCTGCAGCCCCAGCAGTACGGGTGGTGGATGGGGGGGCCGGGACGCGCGCTCACTGTGCACCACCGTCGAGTCCACCAAGGGGCCCACGTCAGGGATGGACACGGCGACGCTGGTGCTCTCGGTGGTGGCCTTGTCCTTGCTGACCGTGATGCAGGAGAGGTCGGGCTCGCTCTGGCTGACGGCCCGGCCCATGTCCAGCTGCACGTCCCCCAGCAGGGCTTGCTCACTGCTGCCTTCCGGCTCCTCCGTCAGCGCCGCGGCCTTCCCCACGTCCAGCTCGACGTGCGGCAGCACCGGGGGTGTGTCGGCCTCCTCGAGGGCACCCGCCAGCCCGGAGCCTCTGGCCACCATCAGACTGTTGGTCCTGTGAGGAGATGGGGGAGAGAGCTGGTGCTCAGAAGCCCTTCCGAACTGGCCGACGCACCTGGCAAGAGGGGCAGGCAGGGGAGCTGGAGCAGGCCTGCCGGAGAACGCGCAGCCTCCGCTGCCTCCCACCCCACCTGGCCAGGCAGACAGGAGCCGAGACCCTGCTGTATTCCCAGCCATCTGCCCACCACCCACCTGCGATAGGAGGTACCCTGGAAGAACAAAGCCTAGTTTCCATGGGGACAGATCTCACTGCCTGTTGTAATTACTTATCAGCATCATCTCCATTTCGTAAAAGGGGAAACTGAGGCTCAGACAGGCTTACGCTGAAGAATTCCTAACACCAGCCTATGCTATGTGCCTCCAGGGAACTTCGCGACTCAGTTACCTCCTTAAATCCTGGGCTCGCTCTTCTTGGATTGTCGGCTCCTTGCCCCCATGGCCGCTCCGGGGCTCATGGTCCTTCTCCCCATCAGCAGGCCCAGCTTCATCCAGACTCCGCTCCTGGCTGGCAGACCTGCTCCGGGAAGCCGAGGCGGACTCCTTGCCTTCTGTCCGGGCGCGGCGGTGCCGGCTGCGCCGCTGGCTCTGCCTGTGCCTGGCACGGTCCTCGAAGGTTACCACGGTCTCTCCTCCCCCAGACTCCTGCTGGGTCGGGTCACAGTTCCCATGACAGGGCCTGGCCAGCCACGGTGGCTCCCTTCTGCCCAGGGACAAGGGGCTCCTCTGGTTGTCCAGGGTGCTGGACAGGCCCCCTCCGTCCCCCTTGAGGGACCCCCCGCGGCTGATGCGTTCCTCCTCGCATTTCTGCAGGCCCAAACCGAGGGCCAGGCCCTCAATGGCCCTGGGTCTCCGGTAAAGGCTGGGGTGGGCGTTGAGCGGGTTGAGGGGGCTCAGTGGGTTCAGCGGGTTGAGGGGGTTCATCGGCGGGGCCTCCTCCTTGTTGAGGGCCTCCTGGCTGGACATCTGCATGTGCCGCCTCAGCTGGCTGGTGCGCTGCTCCCACACCGACATGTGGTGCCGGCGCCTTCGCTCCCGCCTGGCAAAGGGGAGAGGGCGAGGGCTGCAGTCAGAACCTGACAGCTGCGGGCCAGGGAGAGCAGCCACAGGGGCCGTGGAGAGGGCAGGACACACGGCGGGGGAGCAAATGGGAGCGCCCAGGACCTGCAGACAGGAAGCACAGAGAGATGTGCGGAACAGGGCGGGCCACGCACGAGCGGGTCGTTGGCCGGTGCCTGCAGCCTGGGAACTTTGCACTCTAATCCCTACTTTGCAGTGGCCGAGGGCCGGGGGTAGGGATCAGCCTGGGACTGAATTCCGAGCACAGAGGTCTGCCACACGTTTACCCCCTCTGCTCTCCTTGCTTTCTGGGCATCAGCCTGTGCCTACTCTGTGCCCACCAATGGCCCTTGATTTACGGTCAGAGACCTTTCCCCCTTCTCTCCCCTTCCTCTCCTTTCCCTCTCAGATCCCAGCCTGGGATAATAAGGACTGAGACTGCCGTATGCCAGCAAAGGGTGAGAGCAGTGGCAAGTGGTCCTGTCACAAAGTCTTGGCCGCACCCTCACGAAGGAAGGGTCTGTGGGTCTCCGCCACAGTAGCTAATGAACCACAGAAGACTGTATGTGCGGAGACCCCACCAGCTCATACTCAAACCACCGTCGAACACTCAGCTTGGGGGCCTCGGTGACCTTCACGTGGCAGCAGGAACACCCGAACGTGATGCACACAGAAGAGCACACAGGAGTGGGCTCCCTGGGCGAAAGGGTAGTCGCTTACGCCTTCCCTCACCTGTGCCTGGGGACGCACGCCATACTGTTAAGGGGACACGCACATGTACCCACACGCACCTCGCGAGGCCCACGCATAGCTGTACACAGCTGCCTACGTGAAAGGTACACCCCCCAACACTGATCACCAACGCCAACAGATGCCCACTCACAGGCCAAACAGAAGAGTGAACAACACACGGGGTCATATACTTGAGACACACACTGATATAAGCACACATTGGAAAGTGCAGAAGGGCACATCCACAGACCATGTGCACAGAACACACACGCACACACCAAGGCACACACTGACATGCACGCCTAGTGCCACTTTGTCCATGGCAAGGACAAAGACACATCGTCCCCGCGCCCACACATAACCACTCACAAACACGCAAACCGGTACACACATACAGGTGGCTGCTGCGTGGCTCCCACATCGACATGTGGTGTCTTCTCCTTCTGTCTCTTCTGGGAAAGAAAAACGAACAGGTTCAGTTCACCCCAACCTCTAGGAACCTCTCGCCCCACAGCCACCAGCAGAGTTCCAGAGGGCAGCACGGAGTCCCCCGCATGTCCATTGGGTCTCCATGTGCCTGCCTGCCCTCTCCAGACTCCCAACCTTCAGCTCTCTGGCAGAGTGACTTTTGGTTCCTTGCTAAGTGCAAATACATGGATCTCATTTGTGAAGCACACATGCAGAGACACAAAGGATATACCATTTCGTTCGGTGTACAGCTTCAGATGCTCAAACCTCATGCCCTGCAAGCACTCACGCTTTCACCTACACATCCTTCGGAGACCTGTTTTGGAAATCCTATGAACTCTGATGAGTGTATCCCCCTCCCGAATCATTTCTAGGCCAGCACTGCACATTCACATGGGTCAGACTGCCCAGCTCATCACTCCCACAGCAGATCCTGACTCCATTTCACAAAACAAGCAGGGGAACAAAGCTCTGCCATGCATACCATCGAGGCAACAAAGCAGCCCGTGGCCAAAGGCAGTGCCACCATCCCACAGGCCACCATCCGTGGACTCCAGGATGTGAGCGGTGCCCCCTCCATTTGTGCAATGCAGTGGTCCTGTCCAGAGGCCTTGAAGGTTCAGTCTGTTCAGGTGGGTAAAGCACCGTATTGACCTTCTTAGCCTCATACAGACAAAAATCTCTTTCATACGCACACTATATCCTTTCAAACACAAGGTCGGAGTGACGGTGTGGGCGGTGCCTACGCAAGCAGACAGGGTACCTGGTGAAATGAGCCTGTTAGCAAAGGGCAGATGCTCGGGTGGAGGACGACACATCTGGGATGTCCTTGGAGTGACCCTACCCCAGTCACTGTGCTGACAGACCCAGTCCAGCCCAGCGGGCCCCGCTTCGACCTGGAAAGTTGGCAAATGCTGCTCCTTCCCTGATAAAACTGATACCCACCAATGGAGAGCATGTGGGCAAGCTGACACTGCTCAGCTGCCACACTGCACCCGTCTGCAGAGGAGCCCAAGGCAAGGGTGGTGCGGAGGGAGCAGACATAGCTGGTCTGGGCCTCCCTCCGGGTGTCTGGAAGGGCCACAGGGCACATGCGTGTGGCCGCCCAGAAGCACCCACTAATGCAGACATCACTGTGGAGAAGCCCGTGAGCTCCTCAACCGAATCCATCCCTGAGCATCGGCAGCCTGCGATGCAATGAGGCGCAGGTGGGGGTGGGAGGGCCAAGCAGCATGGGGAGCACGTGGAAACAGAAGCGCACACTCCAGACGGGCCGCGTGCACACCGCTAGGAAAAAGCACATCACACCATCTATTTGCAAATGCTCAAATATTCAAAAACCAGCCCTCCAGCATGTGTGTAAGAGTATAAGTATATGGAAAGACTCTCTGTCTCACACACAAATGAACGTGGACACACACGCACGCGCACACACACACACACACACACCAGGCAAGAGAGAGACCAAACTCTAACTCCCACACAAATTGGATACACACTTCAAACTCCCCTTCACCTCTCTACTCATACATGCAAACATCCAAATTTACACTCATTATTTAGATCACACAGAGCAGCATCCTTGTATCTCCAACTCATGTGAATGTGACCTCATGTACACCCCACGATAGCCTTGTGGAATAGGAAGGGCAGGTGGTATTCTCCCCGTTTCGAAGATGGAGAAACAGAAGTTCTGAGATCCTGAGTGGTCTTCTTTCCTGGGTCACAGAGCATATTAGTGACAGAACTATGACTATCACTCAGGCACTTTGGATTGTGACAATGTTGCTGCCATGTTTCTCTGGGGACAGTCATGTTTGCATCCAGTTACACTGTAGTCCGGAAATCAGTGGGCTCACCTGAACAGCTGAGCAGGGTGCACACTCCCTGAGGTCACTCGTGCCAGCAGCACCTACCCCACAGCAACCAAAGCCTGGGTCTCTGCTCGCCCTGGATGTTTTCAGTACCTTCTTCCACCTCGCTGTTGTGCCCTGACGCACACTCTGCTCCGTTCCCACAGCCCTGTGCCTACCCACATTTCATTCATTCTTTCATTCCATAAATAGTGAGTTTCTACTATGGGCCAAGCATCGTCCCAACTCATATCTCTCCAAACCCACTTCTCCCTAAGGCTGCCTTGTCTCAGTAAATAGAACCACCCACTCCTAAGTGACAGCCAGTCCTACCCATCCGCATTTTTGGATACCTGTGTGTGTTTTTAACCCAAATTCATGAGTTCAGAGAAGGTGGGGGTAGAAACTACTCAAGACCCAGAGAATATTCTGGAAAGAAAGGAGTGTTTGGCATTTCCCTGTCAATCTTTAATGATTTGGGGGAGTGGGGATTTTTGTTCCCTCACTCACAGAGGAGGGGGTCCAGAGGCCAGGCCTTCACAGTCTGGAAAGGTGAAGGCAAGACGATGGCCATGTGGGGAGGGAGGCCCCCACGCGTAACCCCAGTGTGCCCTGCAAGATGACACAGAGGCCACTCCGGAGCCCTTCACAGGAAAGCTCTGGGCAACCAAGGGCTCCTCCTTTATCAGCCTCAGTGGTGACTGGGTGTGGTGCCAGGATGGAGTTCCACCTCCCAGGGGTCTCAGATCCTCCCCCTAGATACCCCAGGGCCCGTCCTCATGCAGGCCCAGAAGCAATAACAGGAATTTGAGTTTCTACACTTCCTTCTTAGCCTCTCCACAAACACCTCCCTCTCTCACCAAGCAGAGACCAGGCCCACGCAGGGCCCCAGCCGACTGCCCCGAGTTCTCCCAGCAACGACAGGTCCAGGTCAGATCCCTGAAAGAGGGTGCTCTCCTTGCACTACTCTGTCAGCTTCCTCTCGCCCCCTAATCCACTTCACCTGGATTCTGTTCCCACCTGCCCACTGAAACTGCTCTTGTAAGGTCACTAACAGCTTTTGTTTTGCCAAATCCAATGATCCCTTTCCCATCCTCATCATACACGATCCTTGAACAGTGCACAGCACCAGCGCCCACTCCTCCTTCCTGCGGTTTTCCTCTCTAGTCTCTAGGCCACCATGCTCCCTGCTCTTTCTCTGGCCTCCTGGCTGCACCCCCTCGGTCTCCTTCGCTGGCTTCTGCTCTGCCAGAGCCTCAGGCAGAGGCGTGCACTCAGCCTCTGTCCTCAGCCCTCCGTTCTCCGTTCCCACTCTCCCTGGGTCATCTCACCCACCGACAGCTTAAATAACATCTACATGCAAATGGCTTCTCCAAATCTTTATTTTAATCCTGACTTCTCTTAGCTCCAGACTCAGGTAACCATTGGCCTATTCAACACTCAACCTATTCAGTATCCAAGTGTTGAATCTGATGTGGCCAAAATGAACTCTGGACGTCCACCATTCTCCAGGGATTCAGTACATACCACCACTCTCTACCCAGTGGCTTAGGCCTCAAAGTCTTAAAATCTGGGACCAATTTTTGTTTCTTCTCTTTTTTTCCATCCTTACCCCTACACCACGTGTAATCCATTAGCTCCCCCTCTAGCTCTCCCTCCCAAGCAGGGACCGAATGGGATGGCTTCTCACCTCCCCCACGGCCACCACCGCAGTCTAAGCCACCATCATCTCTCACCCACTTTACTCTCACAGCCAACTCTCTGCCTCCTGCCTCTACTCTTGGCCTCTACCAACTATTCTCCACAGAACAGAGTGACTTTTAAAAGTATAAACCAAAAGTACAAACCATATCATATCTGTCCTTCCACCTTACATTCTCCCATGATTCCAATTACAGTAAAAGCTAAAATCATCCACCTGGCCTTAAGGACCCCGGAGGTGGCTCCTGCCCACCTCCCTGGCCTTGTCTCCTTCCATTCCCCTTATGCATAACACATCCGCCGCACTGGACCTTGCTGGGGAACACGCTTCCTTCGAAATGTCACACGACCGCCTTCTACACATTTAGATCTCTGCTTAAATACCACCTCCCCAGAGAACCCCTCCTGGATTGCCCCCAGGCTCCCCCCAGCTCCCGTCCCTCTCTGCCTTATGGCTGTTTCATTTGTTTACAGCACCTGGCACCATCTGAAATGATTTGTGTGTTTCTTATCTCCCTTGCTCACTGAAATAAAAGCTCCACGAGATCAGAGACCCTGTCTCGTCACTGCCAATATTCTCATAAACAGTTCTTGGCATGGAGCAGGTGCACTTCTGCAACCAATAGTGCTGTGAGTTGATGGACTGCCTACCAGCACAGGAGCCCGGGGATCAGTGAAGGGGGCAGTCAACTCACTCGATAGAAGGCATGTTGGGTGCGGACATCGGGCTGACCTCCTTGGCCTTCTGCAGCATGTGTTTCTGGTTGAAGGCCTCTTCTTCCTCTTGTTCATCCTAGACACAAAGCAGATATGGCTTTGCCTGGGGCCTCCATGAAGGAGAGTAGCTTCCCTTGGCTCTCCCAGTAGGAGTTCTGAAGACCAGGTGAGTGAGGAAGGCAGAGGAAGAGGTTAAATGAGGCAGCATGAGGTTAAGGTGGCTCAGAGACTTCTGATGTCCAGAGGCCAGCCCCTTGGGCGCCAGCAGCCTCACGGCTCCAGCACCCTGCCCCAATAGGCTGCTCAGGACAGCCAGTACACATTTACCCCAGCCCCTGGCCCTTAGAGGAGCTGGCTATGGCTGTGGAAGTCAGTGCAGGAGCCAATGTTTCTCAGTGCCAATGTTTCTGCAGTGTCTGGAAGGGATGGAGTAGGGTCCTTCCAGGAAAGGCCCCCTGAGCCCAGCACTGAGGCTGAGCAGCTCATCATGGTATCTTCCCTGCACAGCTAAGTGGCCCCCCTCTGGGTGCTCAGGCACAGACCTCATCCCTTCACCAGCATTCCTGCCTCTAAGTGTCCCCTCTATGTTACGACATCAAAGAAAACCAGGCCAGGCAGAACAACTAGAGCTGTTAGGAATACATACAACCTCACAGCATGCTATGATTTTCACATACATTATTTCACTTGAACCTTGCAGTGATCCCGTGAGGTACCCGCGGCAGATACATCATTCCCATCCTACACATGAGGAAATTGACGTTAATGGAGATCAGGATTCTGGCCAAAGCTAAAACAGCCAGTAAGTGGCGGATGTGGGACTCAAACCCAGTTTTTCAGATGCTAAAGCTGGCATTTTCCCTACCACACTATGCAGAGGAAGACCCCCAAGAATGCAGGGAAGAGTAGGCAACTCATCATGGAACACATGGAAGAAGCCCAGAAACATCACCAGGATGCTATGTGCCTCTGCCCCAAACCAAATTTGCATTGTATGGGGAGAAGAGTTTTTATTCATCTCTGTAGACCAAACTTCTGCAATTGGTATTGCCTCCTCCACTGGGGAAGTGAATCAGGAAGGAGAGGAACAGCTCTCTGAGAAATGCAGTATCTGCCTTCACTGAATTGTCCCCAGAATGACCATGGCCATACCCCAGAGGCCATAGCCCAGGAACTGTGATGCCACTGGCCACTCTCACACCCAAACCCAGAAGGGTTAAGTCACATGATTGGGGTCACGCAGTAGTAGGTCATGGTAGTAGAGGTGGAACTTAGATCCAGGGCTCTAGTGTTTTTGTGACTCTCCATGATAATCCTGGAAAGAACCCCTTTGTAGGTTCCTAGAGATTAAGCTGTTATTCTCTGTATCCCATGAGAAACCCAGGCTAGGTTGAGGCTCACCAAACTCAGTGAAAGCAAACCAGACCTCCTTCATGGGTGTGGCTCTCCAACTGTCCCCAAGCTTCTGGAAGAGGCCTCCTGGCAGACCTGAGTCTGACAGCGCAGACTTTTGGAGAGACCTCGAAAGGCCAGAGGGTACCCAGTGGCACCAAAGAACCATCAGATCCCCAAAGAACAATGCTCACCTTGGTCAGCTCCTGGGCATTGGCCAGATTGTCCACAGCGATGGCCAAGAACACGTTCAGCAGCGTGTCTGGGGGTGATGAGTTAAGGATGGGCAAGTAAGAGAAACAAGTCTTCAGCAAAGCTGAGTGGGCACCTCCATGTCTTTTCTGCATGGGACAGTGGCAGGAGCAGAAGCTACCCTAGAGAGTCACTTAAGCAGAGGCTGTGGGAGGAGAGACGGAGATATCGTGCAACCCTATCTGAAGCAGAAAGAGGATATATCTTCCCTCCTTCCACATATCATCTCTTCACACAGGATGAAGAAATACCTGAATCCAACCACCTGGGGGCCGGATGAGGTGAGGAGGCCTGTGACGCTGTGAAATATACATTTGGTCTTCTCCCTGTTTCTGGGCATACAGCTCCCAAAATGCTAAGAAATTCCAAAGTGGAGTCTTTCTTCTGCTAATGAGCGACTGATGGGTGGCAGCCCCTAGGTAGCTGCAGGATGGGGACTGATCACGGGGGAGAAGGACCAAGGCAGGATTAGAGGGTTGGAAATTTCAGCCCCACCCTTCAACCTCTCAGGAGGGGAGAGGGGCTGAGGGTTGCATTGATCACCAATGGCAATGGCTTAATCAGTCATGCCTATGTAATGAAGTCCTCCATAAACACATGCAGGACAGGGTTCGGAGAGCTTCCAGATAACTAAACGCGTGGAGGTCCTGCAAGGCAGTGCACCCGGAGAGGGCGTGGAAGCTCTGCACCCCTCCCCCCATGCCTTGCCCTGTGCATTTCATCTATGTCCTTTGTAATATCCTTTGTAATAAACTGGTAAATGTGTTTCCCTGAGTACTGTGAGTCACTCTACAAATTAATTGAATCCAAGGAGGGGGTTGTGGAAACCCTGATTTATAGCCAGTAGGTCAGAAGCACAGGCAATATAACCTGGAGCCTGTGGCTGGCATCGGAAGTAGGGATGAAGTCTTGGGGACTGAGCTCTCAACCTGCAGGATCTGAGGCTATCTCCAGGTAGATAGCATCAGAATTGAATTAGAGGACACCCAGCTGGTGTCTGCTGCAGAATTATTGCTTGCTTTGTTGGTGGGGGAAAAAAACCCACACATTTGGACACAGACGTCTTCTGTGTTGATTGTTGTTGAGTGAGAGAATGGAAAAAGCACTTTGAGTTTGTTTTTCCACACTCAAAAGGCCTTTAGACAGCTGTGGCCTCTGCCCACAGCAATAACAAATAAGAGGATCATTGAACAACAAGATGTGTAGGGAGCTCAGTGTAGGAGTTCATCTCCCCTTTCTGGGAGGCTGGGATTGAATCCCACCCTAGGCCAATCGGCATCATGCTATGCTGTCCTTAAAGAGGAAAAGAAATGAGATTCCACTGCCCCTATCACTGCATAGCTCTCAATAATGGGATGTTAACTTACTTCTCTCATCCTCATGTTACGGTCCTGGAAGGTTTCCATGTTTCATTTAACAAAATGTCATAGAGCAGGCATGGTGGTCCATTAGGAAGTCCACTTCTATTCCATGCTCTAGCCCCAGAAGTCCCAATTTTCCAGCTGTCTTTGAGGCTTATGTGTTGTGGAACATACAAATGACTCTAGCATAAAAAAGTCCAGCTCTGACTACTCTCAGAGTAACAGGAAAATCAAGGTGCCATTATGATAAGTGACATTGTGACAATGGACAGTGAGTCCATTTCTGCAACTCACCGAACAGCTTTCTTCTTGTAAGTTTTTCATGTTTACTTTATGGCCTGCTCTGACCCCTAGAAGTTTTCAGGGCAGAAAACTTAAAGGAACACCTCTTCTCTATGAAACTATGGAAAATGGAAAAATACAGCTGCATCACACCGCTCTCCCTTTTTGCTCTGCTAATCCCAATTCAAGGCAAATCCCACTTCCCCAAGTATCTAATGACTGTAAAGAAGTTTGCAGTTCTAAGGCACAGTCAAGTAACTTATCTCATTTAATATTCACAACTAACAAAGGAAATAAATACTGTTAGCCTCCTCTGAGATGTGAAAAATAGAAGCTCAGAGAGATTGTGTGATTTTCCCAAGGCCACACAGTAGGTATGCAGACTTGCTGGGATTCAAACCTAAATCATCCTGACCCAGATCCTGTGACCAGGTTATGGGCATTGGAGTTGGACAGACTTGGTTTTTAGTCTGCCTTTTCAATTTAGTAGTTACTTGACTTAATTAAGTTATTTCTTCTGTGTCTTATAAAGATTAAATGAAATAGTGCCTGTAAAGCACTTAGTCCATGATCTTACATACAGCACAAATAAATATTAGCTATAATTAGCAGTAGTAGCACGAATCATACTACCAATATTTTAAAGATCTTCCCATGTGGCAGGTTCTGTTCTACATTAGCATGTAATTAATTCATTAGCATTATAATCTTTCTGCTATTTCAGTCTACAATGATCTCTGTCCTCTCCTATTTTCGCCAGCACATAGTATTTCCAACCATTCAATGTAACAGCCTCGTATGTTATTTTTTGTGTACCTACAGATTTGGATAATACTCCAGCTTGTTTATGGTTGTATTCTTGACCCAACTAGTGTACAAGGTCTGCAAGATAAGGATTCTTGTTTCTCTTAGTAGACTAGGCAATGCCCACGGCCCCTGCCGCTGCCCACCCAGGCTCTGCCACCACTACTACCACCACCTCCTCCCTCCTCCCACACTGGTCAAGAAAGGCGCACAGCATGGAAGGACCATCTCAGAAAGGATACAGTTTCCAAACAAGGTGAGCACAATGAAGTAGATGGCTGACCACATGCCTGAGCTGACGCCCCCCTGGGAGCGGATCCCATTGTACATCACCTCATTCCAGTCCTCGCCCGTCAGGATCTACGAAAGTAAACAGGCAGATCAGACACTTGGGTTGGTGAAGAAAATGGGATCGATGCAAAGCGCAAACTCTGGGCCTGGATCTTTTCCATCCATCCCCTTGCTTTGCCATCCTACCAGGGAGGAAAAAAACAGTTATTCCTATGAATAATCCTAAACTTTCTTTTGTTATGGAAGAGAACTTTAGGCACTGAAAATGGAAGGAGAACATCAAAAAGAACGGTTCTATTCCTCAGACTGTAGAGCATCCCTTCCACCTCCAGCTTTGCCAGGCCCTTGTGGAAACCACACAGATCAGGTAGTCTGGCCATCACCCGCCTGTCCCCAGAGCTGCCCAGGTACAATTCCTGGAATGGCAGCATTCTTGAAAGAGCCTTGTGGGCTTCAGTTCAGGAAACTTGGGTTCTGGTTCAGCCTCAGATTCTGGCTAAATAGTGTTTTTCTTTAGTTTCAAGACATTATTGATTTTGAATTTTCCCCGTGATTTAAAAAGTTGGTTTTTTGAGGGGGGGAATGGGGAGTAGAAAAGATACTTCACTAAATGGACACCATTTAATGGATACCTCATTAAATGGGTTAGGAGATGTCTCCGGATTTCAGAAAGCCATAAACGTGATTTGTGGCTAAGTGGCTCAAACCCAATGTCTCATGCAAGCTCACAGATGTAGGGAGAAGGACAATGAGGTGGTCAGGAGAGCTCTCTGACTACTGGTGAGAGCAGAGCCACCAAAGTCCTAGGGATCACCATGATCATGATTACTTAGAAAGAGTGTCATGTACTCTGAGATGGGCCTGGAGAGGAAAACAGGATTCTCTCGAAACTCTAAGATACCACTGTCTTATAGTGTGGGGTCCAAGAGACCCACATAGCATTTCTCGACTGTCAGTTGGCCTCATACCTGGAATACAGTCATGATGGCTGCAGGGAAGGTATCGAAATTTGCTGAAGGCGTCCCGTCATTAAAGTTAAACCTGAAAAGGAAATTTGGAGAGAAGAGAGAGATGAAAATCTCATATAATCAAGTTTGCCATTTCCAAGATTACAGTTTTTATCACTTCTTTTCTCCTTTCTTCTACATCCCCTGCTGCTTCCCTACTTTTGCCCTATCCCATATAACTTATGAAGATGGTGTCAGTGACTTCTACTATGAACTAGGCACTTGGAAGGGGTGGGTAATAAAAGACAGGTTTTGAGCTTATCATCAGTTACAAGGCTCCATGCTGCACACTTCGGGGGCAATGCCAAAGGAGTAGGTACCTGGAATGAGAACCCTGTGTAGTGTGAAAAGATTATGCAGAGACATTTGTTCCACACATACACTCAGCAGTGGATTCAGGCCACGCACAAGAACAGACAAGATGGTTACATGGTAATTAAATTAATGACTCCAGCACTTGTAGGCTTAAGACTAGGTTTTGAGCCTCTTTGGATGGAAAACTCTTTGGGGCTTACCTGCCTCCAAACAGCTGCATTCCTAGGAGAGCAAAGACAACGATGAAGAGGAAGAGGAGGAAGAGTAAACTGATGATAGACTTCATGGAGCTCATCAAGGAAACCACCAAATTCCGCAGGGACGCCCAATACCTATGAAATCCAGACAATACTACAGCTATGAACACAGAATACAAGTCACCTCAGGTCCAGCTCAGCATCTGCCTGGTAGTCTATGAAATTAGCTGCATTTGTGTACTTGTAGGAAGTGGAGACAGCACCAAAACGTTGCTCCCCTAGGGAATGTGGCACAGGATCTGGCACCATGGATATTTTCTGGCTTGAGCTTAGGAGGAGGAGGAGGGGCTGAAGAATGGAGTGGGAGGCAGGGCAGGGAAGGGAAACATGTGGTAAGGGGGAAAAGAGGAGATGGAAGGAAATATAACAAGGCAGAGAGAAGGTTCCACTCTCAAAAGTGGTTGGGAAGAGTCCAAATTCTCATCACTTACTTGGTTATTTTAAATATTCTTAGAAGCCGAAGGGCTCTCAAGACACTGATTCCAAAGGATGTTCCAGGTCTGAAGATTGCCCAGACTACTTCAAATATACTGCCTACTGTGACCTAAAGAGGCAAACCCAGCCACAGTGAGGGGAGAAAGAAAAGGAGAAGAGAGGAACATTCTGGTATTCAGCACACAATCAACAGTTCTCACTGGGCTATATGGAAATTAAAACTCTTCCCCTCCCCACCCAGCCCTACCTCCAACTGGCTACCTCCTTGTGACAGCTGCCACCTCTTTCCCACTGCTCTGCACTCCTATTCCTAACTTTAATCTTTCATGCTGTACATTGGTTTACTGACTCCCATCCTTGGTGAAAATTACATAGCCGGTTGCTGCTTCTGCACATCTCTGATGGCCAAAGCTGTTCTGACATTATAACCCCTTGACCAAACAGACAAAGGAATTGTACTCAAACCAAGGAAACTAATTTAAATTAGTACAGGTTGTATTTCAATACAGAAATCTCAGAGAGGGCCCACATTCTCTCACTGTATTAGAATTTAGTGCTAACGTGAATGTATATGTAAATCAATAAATGTGATTCACCACATCAACAGAAGCAAAAACAAAGATCATATGATCATCTCAATAGAATACAGAAAAAGCATTCAGCAAAGAGCCAGCACCCTTTCATGATAAAAAGCCTCAACAAACTAGGCATAGAAGAAACATATCTCAAAATTATAAAAGCCACAGATGACAAACTGATAGGCAACACCAGACTGAATAGGGAAAAGTTGAAAGCATTACTCCTAAGAACTGTTTTGGTCCTTGGTATAATAAACATCCTTCAGTCACAGGGGTCTTGAAACCCCCAATGTGATGGTCCTTGTTGACATAGGGCCTGATGCTACAGGAAGTAGCAATTTCAAATGAATGTTTCAATTTAATTTTTGTTTTAATTATATATTTATTGGATGTCTACTATATTCTAGACATAGTGCTAAAAGAAATAACAAAAATTAATCCTCACAGCAATGCTGAAAGGTATGTATGTGAAGAAACTAAGGTTAAAATGGTCTCTCACCAGCTGTTCTGCCTGAAAATTGCCCATACTCAGAACCATATGTTCCAAGTTAAAATATAGATTGGCAAGTGCTCAAAATCTTTAGCACCTAACTGAAGCTTTGGCAGAAAAAGAATTGGGTTTGGCAAAAAGAGAAGTGGTTCAGGAGCCCAAAGTTCTGCAACCTAGTTCTGCAGCTAACTGGGCACGTGAACGTGTGCATGATGGCTTTTATTTACTCATGTGCAAATGGGAAGGCTAGCTCCTGATGCATAATATAGTGCATAGGGCTCCCGTGGGCAGCAGAGGACAAAAAACAACGTGTGTGAAAGCACCTTGAAGACTGTTGGTAATATACACATTTAGATATTAATATTATAAAGAAAGTAAACAGCTGGCTGAGATAGTCTATGTAGGGACTTGCTAATATAAGGGTGTGTGTCTGTGTGTGTTTCTATGAGAGTATATCTAGATAATTATCCTACTTTTAAACTGAAGTAGAAAAACAAATATATAAGCTTCTCTTTCTTATGGAACCACCTCTAGAATCAAGTCCTTTGTCCTTTTCTCCCAGGCTTCTCCCAAGATAATAAGTGGTTCAAAACTCTGGCTATGGGTAGCTTTGTAAAAACTCGTTCAGCTATACACTTAAGTGTGCACTCTATGGTATATGCGTTATACTTCAATAAATACATTAAAAATCAAAGAGCTTAGGAAAAACCCAAACAAACCCTTGGTGAGGATTCACTCCCTTCCGAACTCCCTTTGGCTAATCTCATCCATCTATTCCCCTTTTATAAATTCCGCTTTCAATGCCTCATGCTGAATAACAGAGCAAGCTGCTTATCTAGAACCATGGCATATCAACAAAAAGCAGGAGGACAGGCAGGCTTCCAGGGACTTACCCCAAAATCAAAGCAGTTGAACGAAGAATGAAAGTAAAGGCGCGGCCCCATGCCGTACATCTTCAGGGACATCTCTAAGAGGAAGAGTCCCAGAAACAGAAATTCTGCATAGTCTGAAAGATAACAAGCAGAGGCATTTGTTCCCCAGGTGATGTTGGCTCCTGTATTCCCCAACATACATACCTACCCACAGAGGAACCCAGAAGACAGAGCAAGGCCATTCGGCGACCATGTCAGGCCAGTGCTAGGCAGAGCCTGATGACACATGAATACTCTCTGACCCAGGATGAGTCCCAGGCATGCTCAACAGATCAGCTCTGCTCTCTTTTGACAGGCAGGTCTGTCACCAGCCTTTAAATAGAGAGGGCCCTCAGAGGAGAAAGAGAGGACTTTACCGTGGCTTTCATGGAAGAGCAGGACTCCTCTCCACGTGCCCAGCAGGGACATCTCCTGGCCCTCACTCACACCCAGTGGCAGTCTTATCCAGAGCTGCCCTATAAATTTGGTCTATTTGAGGTATTCATTGCCCTAAGAACTTTAGTGATCAAAACTCCCTGCCTCCTTAAGAAACTAACTGAAGGCTTTATAGCACCCAAAGTATAAGGTTATCTTGTCAACTCATCAGCAAGAATTTGCTTAACTGATTCGATAATGAAGGAAAGCTGGGAACAGTCACATACATGGTAAGCCAGCCCCCCTGAAGCTAGCCCTGGCCTCCCTGGCAGTGTATAAAGGAAGAACCCTGGGCTGGCAGAAGCCCAGCCAGGCCTAGCGCAATGCTTTGCTCTCTTATATTCACACGCCCATCAAGCCGCCCCACCGGGGGGCCAGCAGTCACCATTCACTTACAGAGAAGGTGGGTGAGCCACTGGGGCTGGTTGTGATGGACGATGGCCACACAGGCAGTGTTGAGTGCCACGAGGCTCAGCACGATCCAGTAAAACACCTGGGACTTGACCATGTGGCGGATAGAGATGCGCAGAAGCCTTTCCTTGTGCCGGAAATAGGAGGCGCCATCGACCTTTGCACTTTTGATACTGGCTCGGGCAAGAGGTGTGCCTAAGGGGGACAAGTAAGGAGGAAGAATGAGATTGTGAAATATCCTGGGATCACCCTCCATAGCCAGGAGGCATTCAAGGAGCAAGATGAGCCGCTTTAGTCCCAAGGCAAGGTGGCTGACACAGCTGCAGGCCCTGGGAATCCCCATGTTACGTGGCGGAGACCCCGTTTTTCCTCTCTGGGCACTCTCGGTCCTAGGAAAGTGTCCCCAGGCAGGTCATCAGGCAAATACTCAGTGTCTTGAATCCTAATAGGATCATGTTTATTTTTGCAACAGATTGGGCTTCTCTCTTCCCTTTCCTTCTAAATATGCTTCGGGCACTGGAATCCTTCTGCCGCACTGGTGATCTTTCTACCGCTGGCAGCACAAAGCAGCAATGAGCACTGTGAGTCTCTTCTGTTTTTAAAGATGGAGTGAGACCTTTCTCTTTTTCTGGGGAAGAGAAACTTGCCATCAGCCAGAATCTCTTAAGAGAATCTGGAATTGAGCACCAGTCCAGTTAAAGGGTTGACAAGAGGAATTAGTTTAAATGTCACATGATGGAAGCGAGTGGGTGCTGCTACGGTTAAGCAGATGACTTTGAGCTCTCACATCTGGGTCACTAGAAGCAAGAGGTCCTCAGGAGCCTTTGAGCAACATCACAAAGTAGGCTTTCATCATCACACCCAGGAGAGAGAGTAGACATCTACAAATGAGATACATCCGCCACATCTGAAGAACCTAATTAGATTCTTAGTCCTAAACCCCACATTTCAGGTAAACGGCATCCCCTGGTCCATTATTTTTTGGGGGGGCATAAATTATTGTCATCTAGATTAGATTCCCACGCTTCTCCTCAATTAGATCCCTACGTTCTGGATTCTTTTCCTTCTTGTGGTGCTTCTCAAAAGATGGAATCCCCCATGAAAAGGAAGATCCTAAGAAGTAAAAGAAGATCTAATGGGATCCACTCACCCACAGAAGAGATATCGACGCAGTGCTCATCACTGGAGTCTCGGGTCATGGCCTCCGTGCGGCTCCTTTTGATGGTTGCCCTTCGAAGCACTACACCAGGGAAGGGGGAGGCCAGTGAGAGGCCACAAGTACACCCAGGTCATTTTGGACAAAACTTGAGGACCATAGGCAAGAGGCCTTGTGCGAAAGGCCCCGTGACACAAGTGCCTGCCTTTAATCCCTGAGCCAGGGTGACAGAAATTGAGAGTATCTACAGAACCACAAATGCTGTGCTCACTAGCACCTCCTGAAACACAGGGGCTCCAGAATCCTTGCTAGAGCTTGTCTAAAGGCAGTAGGGAAACCTGTACTCTGTACCTATTTGTTCTGGCTCTTCACAAACAATGCCACTTCCCGGCAACGAAAGTGGTCTCGGGATAATCCCCACACATTTTAAAAGTAGACCCCTTCACGTGCCACTGGTTGTACGATGGTCTCTTCGATGCACAGTATCAATCACATGCCCGGGAACAAAGCAACTCTTGGGTTTCATTTTCATCACTTTAAAAGGCATTTAAATCTGTGACTCAATTCCCTTCATTTTAAAGCATGAGGGGTTTTATGACAGAGAGGCTTTCGTTTCAAATCCCAGAGCGCCCTCTTTTATTTCTTTCTCCTCTTTTGATCAAGAGAGATTGCCACGCCCAAGAGAGGGCAAATGCAAAGGTGGGGAGGTGTTGGAGCACTTCCTTACCTTCCAAGGCGGATGTTCCAGTGTTTTTATTTTCTTCAGCAAGCATGACTTCCTCTACATGGAAACAAATGGTTTAGTAAATTATCTGTAAATGTCAAATTATTTTGCAAAAAGAAAATCCCCCAGGGAGCAGCTCTGGCTCCAGGGTAATGGAGAGAGAGCAAAGAGTTCAGAGCCTGTGACAGCCATCAGCATCAAAAACAAATCGGGGGTCACGAGGGAACATGGAGTGCACAGAACACAGAGGAAGTCCTCGGAGAAGGGCACGTGGTGGATGATTGGCAAAATTCAGCTGCGTGTCTGATTCCCTCATTCGGAGGGACACGGGTGAGGAAGAAGTGATCTTTTTTAACTAAAACCTCCTACGTTGAGAGGAATGAAAAATTTCCATTTCTGTGTTTTCTTCTACCGGGTCCTCTTTTTTCTTGTCTGTGCCTCCTGTGTCCTAACCTCTACACCCTCATGCAGGAAGTAAGCCCACTTCCACGTCTTTGAGGAGGGGCACAGATGCCTCAGGGCCCTCAGAGAGGGGCCAGGGAGTGTGGGCCTGCCTCCTCTGTCCCCACCGCTTCTCTCTTGTCGCAGTGGAGCAGGGCTTGAGCCAAAGAGGCCTGGGCCCATCATGAATTTACCCCTATGGTATAATAAAAAATAAATATTGGTTTTTGTCTCTGGTTCCTGGCCCAGAGTCTTTTGTATGCTAATAAGATGGCTCATGGAAGAGACAGAGGCCCTAGATAGCTTAAGGATAGTGGCTGGTGGCCAGAAACACCAGCCACATGATTAGCGGGTTGGGACTCTCAGCCTCTCCCTACCCCACACTTCTAGGGAGCGGAAGGGGGCTGGAAATGAGTTTAATCACCGATGCCCAGTGATTGAACCAAGCACGCCTACTTAGTAAAATAGTCATAAACCCCCTAAATGATGGGGCTCGGAGAGCTCTTAGGTTGGTGAACACATAGACGTGTGGGAGGGTGGTATGCCCAGAGGGAGCACGGGAGCTATGTGCCCCCCAGCCCCACACTTGGCCCTACACATCTCCTCCATTTGGCTATTCCTGAGATGTATCCTTTATAATAAACTAGTAAAAGTATAGATTTTCCAGAGTTCTGTGAGTCATTCTAGCAAATTACTGAACCAATGGACAGTGGAGGTGGGGGTTATGCGAACCTCCGAATTTGTAACTGGCCAGGCAGAAATGCTTGACGCCTGGGGACCCCACTTTCGGCTGGCATCTAAAGTGGGGCAGTCCTGTGGGACTGAGCCTTTAACCTGTAGGGTCTGCCTGAACTTTGAGCAGTATTTAGCATCAGAATTTAGTTGACTTGTCGGACACCCAGTCGGTATTAGAGAATTAAAGGATAGGTTGACGCTGGAACGACATTTGGCTGTTGGTGTTTGGGAAAGTGCAGTCCCTGGGCTCTGTCCTCCCAGCCTCCCCAGGCGCAGTCCTGAGCTCCACTGAGCTGTCACCATCTGAGAGGTATGATTTCCTACTATGACTTATTGGCCTAAACCTTACTAGCATCCCTCCAAATGTACCAGCAAAATAGCCCCTCTGCCCCAAGTCTCGTGGATCCCAAGTACCCTATTGGTGGTGGTGTGGACGAGTTTTGATCTCAACCCTGGGCCAGGTTGTTGGAGAACTCAGCAGTCATTCCCTAAGATCCCATCTGGTGGCTGGGGGAGAAGCTTGCAGCAGACCCTCTTAAACAATGGTTTAATTTAAGCACTTTTAACAAGTAAGAGGACAGTCATTACCATAATTCCAAATGCATCTAAAACTGAGAGTATATAATGCATTTCCCAGGGAGGGGAACATTTTGAGGCCGAGATGGTACTATGCAGGATGGCCATTATACCAAGTCATAAACATTTAGCTTTCTTTTTTAAGTACAGCCTCTGGCAAAATGCTAGGCTAACGGGTTAAATGTTATTGGTGGGGTGCTCCTTCCTGCAGACACAGTGGGTTTTAAAGTCATTTGATAGCACGTGTTATTTGGAGGGCATCATTTTAAAATTAGGTACTTGTTAAAATACCTCATAGCAACATTAATTACCTTAGCCAGAGAGTCACTTTTGCTATGCACAGTGCCTGGGCTTTGGGGTGGGCAGATCTGAGGACTCCCAGGGCAGATGGAAGGTGTGTGGTGCTGCCCAGCAAGTCTGGGAAGCGCTTGAGGGCTCTGGATGTGCCGAAACCACCCTCCTTCCCCCACCCCCAATGCCTTTTGCCAAGTTCGCTTTAGAACTTGAGTGTCTTTCCAGGGAAATGTAACCCATATGTCTCTGATTCACTCACGCTCCATTTGTAAGGGAAGGGCTGGGAAGCACAATTTGACGTCGCAGCGCGTCTTTTTTCTTAGAAGGAGGAGAGAGCTGGCTTTGCCAACTGGAAGAAAGGGAAGCCCTGGAATCTTGCAAGCACTGGAAAGGCAGAGCCACAAAGAGCAGCACACCGTGCCGCCGACCTGTGTGGGGTCACGGTGAAGGCTGGGAGGGCTCGCCTCTGGGTCTGCTGCCAGCTCTCGGTGGTCTGTCAGATGGCTCCTCCACGGAGGAAGCCAAGGGCAGGTGGGAACATCACGCTGCCTGCCTGGCCTGGAGGCCAATCTGCTCAGCCTACCATGGTGAGGCTGAGTTTCCGTTCTGGGAAGAGGTAGGGGAGAATCGCATCCACTTTGCCCCTACACGATAGCCTTGGAGGAGAAAGGGTGAAACGGAAGCACAGCCGACATGCACTGCTCATGCTTCCAGAGGTGAGGACGGAGCGTGGGCAGTCCCAAACAGCGGTGTTCATCTGGCTTTCAATCACACACGCACTCTCTCAGCCCTCAGAGGTAATCAGCAGTTGAGTCCAGAGCTTAGAGGGGCCTTTGTGGGTTGGAAGTCAGAGTGCCATAGCGTCATCGCCAAACTCCTACAGAATAAGGCTCAGGCAACTAAGCATCGAATCATACTCTAGATTCTTCCTCCACAACCTGACGTGTGCTATGCTTTCCTCTAGCAACAGAGAAAAGATGCTGTCACATGTGTATTGTTTTATTAAAAAAATCATTCTTTGCTCTAGAAGAAAATGAAGATATATAACACCAATGAAATCCAACATTTAAAATAATAAAGAAAGCCAAATGTATCGCTTTTACTGGCAGAAACCAGGAGACGGATGTCCCTCATCAGCAGCCGAGCTGCAGTCAAACTTGACCCTGGTGGCTCTGTGGGTTAACAAAATTATGACAGGTTCGGCTGTATTGTCACAGCTGGGCAAAAACTACTCCTGATGCTGAGCCACGGGGCGAGGACCAGGGACAGCTCCGGGCTTAGGCAAACACCTGTTCCCACCATCATCTCTTCCCTGGACGGCTGCAATGGCCTCACAGCCGCTCTCCCTGCTCTCAGCCTTGTCTTCCTATGGTCTATTCTCAATGCCGCGGCCAAGTGCTCCTCAACAATCTTAAGTCACAGAATGTGGTTCTTGTGCCACTCACAGTAAAGCCCAAAGCTCTCGCAGTAGCCTATATGGTCACATGCGATGGTGGCCCACCCTCCCCGTGATGGCTCTCCCTCTGTCTCCGGCTACGCTGCCCTTGTCCCCCATTCTGCTCCCTGGTACCCCTGGCCCATCTGCCAGGACAGGGACTCGGCACTGAAACACTCCCCCCAGACCCGCCCGTGGCTCACTCCCTCATCTCTGCAAGTCTCCACACAAACAGGCCTACCCCGACGTCCTACTTAAAACTGCAGCACTCCCTGTACCCCATAACCCTTCCCCGATCTCTTTACCCACTGGACTCAATCTTCTCATCACCTTCTCAGGAGTTACTCATTCACTGTTGTGTTCATTGCTGCCTTCCCACAGGAGAAGGGCTTGGGAGAGCTGGGGGTCTGCTTGGCCCCCGCTGTATCCCTGTGCCCAGCACAGGGCCTGGCACCAAGTAGGCCCTCAGTAAACATTTGTTGAACGAATGGATTGTAATGAGCAGCACCAGGAGCAGTATTATCAGGTGTCGCCAGCCCAACCTGAGCTCGAGGATTGGGCTGTTACCTTTTACTCAGTTCACCTTGCTAAGATGCCTGCCTGGCAGATGAACAGTTAGACCCCAGAGGAAGAAAGTGAGACCCACCCCCCACCCGGGAACCCAAAGAGCTAACAAGGCATCTAGACCTTCTCCCTTCTCTGGTCTGAGCTGTCCCTGGAATGTCAGCTCTGGGAGTGAGGGCTGGCCCTGCTGTCTGCGCAGCCCCCCAGCCCCCCTGCAGCCCAGCGGGCCTCACCTGCTTTGTCTATCCAGGCGCGGTAGCCATTCAGCTCGCGCTCGATCTGCTGCTGGCGCCGCAGCTTCATGAAAGCTCTGCGGTTCTCCACTCTCTCTCTCTCTTTGGCAAATTCCCTGTGGACAAGAAGGACAAGATTCACTGGGTTTGTACAGTGCCATGACTAAGTGGAAGGGTGACATGAGTAAAGACGGGGTCTCTGGGCGGGCACTTTCATCCATCCCACGTCCCCTTCCTCTGACCCAGGCCGAACGACGATCTCCTTGCAACATTACACCAAAACACCTCATCCAGCCTCATTCAGGAAGCCTTCACACGTTAATTGCATTCCAATCAGGACCGACACCCCTGCTTGCTCTATTTTGAAAGATACTTCCTTAACCATGTGACAAACTAGGTTTCAAAATGCCATGTCCCATCTCCTTGGCTACAACAGAAAACCCTGAGTTCTCTGAAGGGCACAGCGACCCTTTCTGCTTTTGATGACAACAGTGACTAATGTCTACAGAACATTTGTCATGCGCCAGCCCTGTATGAAGTTTTTCATACCCATTAACTCATTGAATCCTTACAACCACCCTACGAAGTAAGTACTACTAAAATTTCTATTTAGCAGATCGGGACACCAACGCTTAGAGAGGGGAAGTAACTTGCTGTGGTTTGAACTCTAACCACAATGCTGTGCTGCCTCTGGTGGCCTATATCCTGTGGTGCTCACTAAAGGCTGCCACCGAAGGCCAATGACACTGATGACTTAAAGCTGAAATGCTGTTTGAAGGTGGCTGTGTTGGTTAAATAAGAAAGGGAGGGGTGTGGGCAGGGCACCTGGCTCCAGCAGAAGGACAGTGGGGAGGTAGGGTGGGACGCAGGGAGATGACCAGACACGGCAAAGTCCAGGTGAGGGTTGGGGAAGAAGGCAGTGTCCATGACGGGCACAGGGGACCAAAGCCACTCTGTGGAACGAGAGAGTGAAAACACTAATGCTCCATCAGGCAGAGTCCTGCCCAGATAAAGCCAAAGAAAAAAATAATAATAAATTTCTCCACGGGAAAAAGAGGAGAGAAAAGGACTGAAGGTTCCCTGGTAGCGTGGAAGAGAATCAAATTCAGTGGGGCGAGCAAATGAGGATTAAAGAAAGAGTCATTTGCTAACAGGCTCTTCCAGAAACCATCTCTACCAAAGCCTTTCTTATCACAAAACACGCTTTCGGGCCAGTTGGCCCCCTTGCTAATACAGGGCCCCCATCCATGCCTCGGATGTCCTCCCACTGCCCCAGAAGCTGTTCCATGTATTTGAGATGATCCCTGTGAATAAGGAGCTTCAGCCTGAGGATGAGGGAGCCCAGTATCCACTATGGGTCCTGCCAGCCCCTCCCTCAGGTCCAGGAAAGAAAAAATGAGCTAAAGGCTGAGGGAGGACGTGCCCCAGCCGCAGAGCAGGGGAAGGGGAGGGGCCAGTCTACCATGATGCAGAGAGACACCTGCTTGTGTGCACCTGGCCTTCCTGCCAAGACAGAGCTGGCTTGCTTGGGCACAGCCACCTGTTTATAATGGTCACAGTCAGGCTCAGGGTATGGGGACAAGGCACACTGGAAGGAGAAAATTCTTCCGTGCCTGGCATCAATGGATTTTACTAAAGGTGTTGTAGGGGAAGGGAAGAGGAGAGTCAAAATGAAGAGCAACCAGGGCCAATGAGGGTAACAGAATTCAAACCGCGGGATGCCCCCTCATTTTCCTTTCTGCATTTCAGCAATTTGGAAGTAACAAGAGGCTAGCTTGGTTCATGGCATCACCATCCACCAAAGTTCATCCTTTTGGTTCTTTGCTTCTTTCTATCCCTCCTACCCCATTATTAACGGTTCCATTGTTCTGTTTTTTTACTTTCAAATAGCACTTGCATGTACCCTCCCTTCTCCATCCTCATCCTACCTGCCTGGACTATTGTAACAGCACCTAGCTGGTCTCTCAACCATCTGTCTCTCTTCATTTCATCCACCTCACAGCTGTTAGTGTATCTCTTTAATAAAAACACCATTGGCTCTTACCACTTCCAAACCGTAAGTAATAACATTTGTGGGGCACTTCTTAATTTACCAAGCACCTTCATCCATTTTGCTCATTTAATCTTCACAACCATTCTGAGAAGAAGGTAGAATAGGTATTTTCACCCTCAATTTAAAAGTTAAACAACTTGATCAAGTTTAAGTAAAAAACAGAGCCACAACTGGAACTCAGGCCTACTGTTCTACGCGCTCAAGTTCATCATGCCCCACACAGTTGCCAAGACCTATGGCACTTTTGTATGCTAGTTTCTTTATCTTTCATATGTATGTGTCTTGATTTTTCAGTTAACCTCTGGAGGAATCCAGGAAGGTTTAACAAGAAGGTAATATTTTAAGCAAGTCCTTGAAAAAGGACTTCAGCAGGCTCTGACCAGAGGAACACAATCACTCTTGAGCATAGAGGGTAAGGATTATCACTAACATCTCCATTTTCCAGCTCAGAAAACTGAATCGAAAGAGACTTAAGTGGCTCTTTGAGAGGGCACATGTGCATGGACACAAAGCCACCAAGAGGAACCATGACTCTCGGATATTCTGAATTCCACCTTCTTTCTACTCTACCATCATGTCCATCGCAGCATCCTCCACCCTCTGCTGAAGGAAGTACAAACAGCTAACACGGCCTTCAAGGCTTTCCCAGTCTGAGCCCAAACCTCATCACCCACCATCCCCGTCCACCCCGTGGCTGCCTACAGTCCACCACCGCCACGCTTCAGCCACTGCATCTTTCCCATCATTCCTGCACATGTGGGGTGGGATTTCAAGCCTTCTTTCTTCCTGCAATCCCTTATCTTCCTGAGTCTGTCAAAGCCTTCTTCAAGGCCAGGTTGAAATGTCACCTCTTCCATTTGGCTTTCCCCTCCTTCCAACCCCCTCCCCTGCCCCGTCTTCCAGTCTCCACTCTACCTCTCTCTTCAGAGTTCATCCTATAGTCAGAACTTTAGTGTGGTCAGTTGGATGTTTGTTGGACTGTTACTCCCTCTATGTGAGCTTTTTGGGAAAACATTCTATTAATACCTTACTCAACTTTCTACCTTTCTGGACTAGAATACACCTCGCAATACTATATATTCGATAGATATTTTCTTTTATAAAAAATATCCAGGCTGACCAAGTGAGCACACTGATAGCTTTGCCCCAGCTCCCAGAGGCTTAAATGAAGAACCGCTCCATCTCTTCACCGACCCAAAGGGAGCCAGGTGAACTAGCAGTAGCTCCTGGACACTGCCACCAGTTTCCCTTTGATTAGCCCCGCTAAAGTCACTGTAGAATTAGTCTATGAAGCACATGGTGTGTCACCTCTATGGGGCCCCCAGAATGGAGGTGTAGCTTGACTGCTGGTGGGACAGGCCAGCAAACCCCAGTCCAACCTCCCTGCGTATTTAGAAGTTTCCTGGCTCTGGGTCTCGCCAGCTGGGTTCCCCACTCTTTTTTGCCATTGCAGGCCCGCGTTGTCTCCCACCCTCCCACCTGGCATCCTGGCTGGGACCCACAGGCCCAGAGCCTGACAAATCTGGCCAAGCCTCTTGGCTAAAAGAAGTAAAGCAAAAACTGTGCACCCCTGGGGATGCTTCCTAAGCAGCTCCAGCACCTTAGTGGAGGAGGAAGGCTCTATGTGGGAGACCTTCTTCATCATGCTTATCAAGAAGCCTTTTCCGATTTGTTCTTTCATTGGGAGCCCGGTAGAAAGTCTGGCACCTGTGTCTTTCATGACTCTTCTCACCCCTCCCCATTACCGTCGTCATTTTTTTGTGCCCATAGCCTGTCTTCCTACCTAGTCTTCAGGTTCCATGAGGCCAAGCAGAGCCTGCATAGTATCATATTCCAGCAAGGACCTATGAAGTTTAACCCAGTGCCTGGTATTACAGATTCCACAGATTACAGAAATAAAATATTAAGAACAGCTAATATTCACATAACACACCTAAAATTTTTAAAAATTTACAAATTTTCATGTAAATTAATTCATTTATATTTTCGAAAACCCTGGAAGATTCAGAAAGGTCACTTGCCCAAGATAACCCAATTAGCAAGAGGCAGAGACAGAATTCAAACTAATGTCTTCCGATTCTAGGTTAAGTTCTGTTTCCACAATGCCTCGGCTATCTGCCCTGATAGCTAGAAGTCAACATTTACAATCTACAAGAGGGATTTCATTTCAGGCCAAAGTTGAGGAAAATAAGGATATAAAAACAAAGATTTTTTTTTTTTTAAAGGGACTGTCCCTTTTTTTGAGACGGTGGCATAAAAATCCATTGCTCTGTGTTGGGTTAATGAAGACCTAGAATAAAATTCACAGCATTAGTCAAGCTAGTGATATACTGCTTCATTTTGTGTCGATTTATTCATATACATACTGCATTCTGGGGAGAACAGGAGCAAACAAGATTCAGCTCTATTACACGCCCCAAATAAGTAAATATTCTAATCTCAGATTTAATATACCCACCAGGCTCAGCAGTATACAGGTGGCCAGACCTGGGAAAAGGAAGCTTATCACTTTCACTTGTCCCTCTCTTCCCTGAGGACCTGAGTACTCTCTCCTGTTCACAGAGGATGCTGGGGTTATTCAGGTGACGATGCTTTTACAAAGATAAAAGTATATGATCTTCACTTAGTCAACAAGATGACCACTGCCACATTCCCTATTGAAAGGCAGCTCAGAGAGTGGCCCTCTGAATTGTCTCAGTTTATCCAGTTCCCTTGAATCAAGCCACAGGAAGTTTGAAAGTGGAAATCTGGCCCATAATGGAAGAGTGTCCAGGACCCCTGAGGCCCCTTGGCATTGGCCTGTGGCTTACAGTAAGAGGATGGGCGATCAGCTTTTTGCCCCTTTGCTTCATCCAGTCTTTCTACACCCAAAGATGCAAAAAAAAAAAAAAATCGAGATCAGATGCAGCTAGATCTCAGAATTCCAAACAAGGAGAACAAAGATAAATCCCCATGTTATGCAGCAGAAACACTGCCTGGTTTATGTCGGGAGCAAGGAATCCACGTATCCTCTGCTACTAATAAACTGGGCTATAACCACTCTGCCTTGGTTTCTTCATCAGT